TTTATGTATTGTTTGAAGCAAAATAATCACTTTGCTATAACTGATAATTTTAGGAATCAAACCTGCCATTCATTAGAGCCTAGTTTGTTCACTTATTATCATAAAAAAATGTGCCAGGGCTTGAAAATGCAGAGGTAGAGTGATTTTTTTTTTTTTTAAAGATTAATACACCCAGGAAATCATACTCTTACAGTGTAAACAGTTGACTCAAACCACTGGCTCATGGAGGTAACGAACACGTCACACACTGGTGAGCGATTTTTCTGATGAGAGGGAGCGTCTCTTACAGGACAGTGGCAGGGTTGGGTGCAGTTGTTTCTCTCAAGTCTCTGAACATGTCTCAGATCTCCATTTGGCGGGAATGGGCGCTACCGGGGTTGTTACCCTCCCTTTTTCTCCTATTGTGTGGTTGTAATGTGGTGACCGGGGAGCTGTTTGGAGAAGCAGTTGTTGGGGTGCATGACTCGTGCCCCTTGAAACAGTGTCCCTAGCTGTAAGGTGTGGGGGATCGGGTGTTCTGTGGGTGTTTGTAAAGCATATTGGCTCGCTCTTTGGCCAGCCCCACCCCACTCCTTTGAAGTTCCCATCATGCTCTGCCATCTTTTCCCCTTTCCTGTCCTTGTCAGTTATCAACTTCCTGTCTCTGAGGAGTTTCGCTAATGGTCAACCAACTGACCGCCAGCCCCTGCCAGGCAGGGGTTATATCATCACCAGTAGCTCCCTTCTCCGTCAGTGTCTTCAACTTCTCTCCTCTAGATTTCTCATTCCCAGTAATCCTGATCTTAATCCTCATTAAACCATCCTAGATACCTTGATACTTCCATTTTTTCTAGATTCATCAATTCCTCCTGGCCTCATTGTTTTGTCTGCCTGAATGCCACTTTTCCAGTCTTCTTGGCTCTTCACCCCTGTATTTCCCCTACAGCACATACCTCCATTCTTCTGACTAGAAAATCGCACTAGTGCAGACTGCCCTCACAGAGTCCGTGTTGCCAGGGACACTGAGGTCCTCCACTGCTCCTTCGTGTTCATTCTTGTCTTTGGTTGGCTCCCTCTGCCAGCCACTCCACAGTGAAAGACAGTTCTGGCCTTTCCTCATCCTCCTGCCCAAACCCTACACCCTACTCTTGGCTTTTCTACCCTACTTCATGGAGAAAACAGAAGCTATTGGGCATGAACTCTATCTTGGCCCTTCTTTATCGCTCCTCTGTTTTGCTTCCCATCCTTTACCCCATGTAAACCATTCACTTCCTTTCTTCTCAGAAGGATGAAGTCCCTCCTCCTGTTCAAGGCTGGTCCTCCAGCTGGTGCTTGGACCTCAGCCTGCCAGCCATCTTTGCTGCCTGATCATTGCCTTTCACTCCTATATCTCTTATGCCACTCCCCCCGAACTGGATCCATGTCCTCAGCCAAGAAATGCATTCTGGTCTTTCCCATCCCCACCAAACTCTGCTCGGGAAATAAGTTAATCTTCCCACTGATCCTATACACCTGCACACATATTCCTGCCCTTACCTTCCTTCTTCTCATCCAGGCTTTACCAAATCTCTCCCTCACTCTCTAGCCCATTCTATCAGTTAGTCTTCTGTCCCTGCCATCCTGCAGACATGGTGACTTTCAGATCCCCAAATCCTCTTTGTCTTATTAAAAGGAAGAACGTGCTTCTTCTAGAGTAGCATTGTGCGGTAGAAATACAATGCAAGCCACATAGGTGATTTTTCTAGTAATCGCATTTAAAAAGTTAAAAGAGATGGTGAAATTAATTTTAATAATGTATTTTATTTAACCCGATATATTAAAAATATTATTTCCACACATAATCATTGTGAAAATTATTAATGAGTCATTTTATTTTCTTTTTTGAAAACTATTTTTACTAGGTCTTCAGAATTGGTGTTTATATTACTGTTACAGCACGTCTTAATTTGGACAAGCCACATGTGGCCAGTGGATACCATGTAGGATAGTGCAGTTATATCCATTCTTCTCTCACCTATTTTTTAGGAACCATCTTTCCTGGCCCTCCTCCTACCTCTTCAATCATTTCTTCTCGGTGTCCCATGTCTGCCCCGTCTTCTAGCCATTCACATGCTGTTGGTCCTCAGGCTTCCAACTCTCTTCCTGATAATCTCATATATTCCACCCATTGGCCGATGATTCTCTGAGTCCCACCTCTCAGTTGGGCTTCCAGCCCACAGACGTCCAAAGTTTAACATGCCACAAGGGAGCTCATCATCTTTTGTCATGACTCTTCTCTTCCTGTCTCAGTCATTGGTACCACCATCCACCAGGTGCCCAGGCAGAAAACTGGTATTCCACTTGAATTGCTCTTCCGCCTTCAATGCCTACAACTAAGCAATTACAAAGTTCTTGAAGTCTACTTTGCCAGTATTTCCTTAAAGATTCCCTTGTTTCCTTCTCTACAACTACTGCTTTAGTCAAGATCTTCATCATCCTTCCCTTGGATTGCTGGAGTGGCTTCTTCAATAGTCTGCCCACCTTATTCATAGTTCCTCCTTTATATTCTTTATGCCCTCAATTTTTCACCCAAATAAATTGATATTCACCTAAAATGGCCAAGTCTGGGATTATATCCCCATTTTTGTAAAGAAAAAAAAGGGGGAGATGGGCTATATTATAGGCTTCAGTCCAAAGAATTTGGAAGTTGGCAGGCTTCCCTCAGGGCATCCCTTTATTCTCCTGTCTGACTCTCTCCCTTCTACTCCAGTTCACCACTGAGCAGTTCTACAGGTGGTTCTGGAAGACACAGGAATACATTTAACAGAATCCAGCTCCTTTTGTTTTGATAATGGAGATCTCCCATGGCTTTGTAGAATTTTCCTCAACTTGAATTCATCTGAGCACAATGGTTCTTAATCTCTCTCTCTCAAATCACATATGTCTTCGAAAATTTGCTAAAGACATGCCTCATTTCCCCCAGAAAAGTGCACAGGTGCAAACACAATTTAGCATAAGTACCTGAAGCCCACCCATGGGCTGATAAGTCTCGTTGGAGGACAATACTGAAACAGTGCTCAGATCATCTGCTGGTTCCTGCAAAAAAGGATCAAAAGTAGCTTGGTTTCCCAAGACATTTCGAAGACTCTTAGCCCATTTTATGCCACATTTTGTAATCTGAAGAAAGCTATGTTTCCTCCAAGGACCCTTTGAACATTGTCTGACTAACAACACTGAAAACAATTCCAAACTTTCATTTCTTGGCTAAAAGTAGCTGATTTTCTCCACACCCACACCCCTCTCTTATAGAAGCTGTTTGCAACAACTTTGTTTCTTACTTGCTTTCTGAGCCTCACTCCCCAGTTGGCTGTCATGTTGTGCTCATCTGGGGGTGTGACTGATTTTCCTCCCGTCTTCCATCATTTCAGACGCTTCCCTCAGAGACTTGGGTCTGAGCCCTCTCCTGCGCATCTCAGGTCATCATGTGCTCTGCCCCACCAGCACCCTGGGGAGGGGGCAAAGAGGGGTGAACACCGGACCCTGGCCACCTCTGGGGGGCTCTCTGTGAGGTGAGAGCTCGTGTTGGGAAGACCACACACGTCTTCAAGTGAGCCTAAGCTTTCTCTTCAGCAGCCCAGCTGCCAGACGACAGGATTGCAGCACCAACCGACCTCATGGTCCTTCCCTGCCCAAGAATGTGCCATTTCCACAGAGGCCATGGGGCTGTGCAGTAGGGACTACCCACTGGCAAGGATGGGTGTTGCAGCCTGCACCCCCCAGTGCCGCAAAAGAACACTGCCGCCTCGTTGCTTAACAGCCAGTCACGAGCTCGAGTCCACAGGCCTCCCCTTGGCTTTTTGCCTCTGCTCTGTCTTCACTGGCAAAGCTTCTCTTCTACTCTCTCAGAGCTCAAGCCTGTCCGTAGTCCTCTCTCCTGATTATCCAGTTTGTTTGCTCTTTTGCCAGGCTCCCTCCTTAAGTTTCTTGCCCAGTGGAAACTCTCTTCTTTGTTTCCCTGAGTGACTTCAAAGTTCCACTTGCCTCCAGAGGCCCCTTTGTGTCTCTGCTCCCCCCCTCTGGGATCCCCCCCACCATTCGCCCCCCACACTGGGCTCTTCACCTTCCTGTGTCTCCCCGCTAATCCCCACTACGCTCACTCCCTTCCTGGCTCTCCCATCCTGAGTACCAGCTGGGACAGCCAGCTATAAAGAGTTTATTGGACTGAAAAGTGAGTGAATGTTCTCATGCACCCTACTCTTTCCCACCTCAGCAAAGCTTTTCAGAGTCACATTTCCAATGGAATCTGAATCTGGAAGGATTTAGATCTGCTGAAAAATGCCAAACCTCCAGCCTTTGGCTGTGTTTGAGATTTTTGGCAGTTCCTCCCACGTCTGATGTTACGAACACTGTTTATAGATGCCTGGAAAGAAGCCTTTAATGCTTGTATTGTGTTTTAACTTGCTTTCCTTTGGAGGCAGGGAATTGTCAAGTAAGTATTCACAGCACTCTGGAAAAGCCCAGGTGTTCGATGAGCATCCAGTACTAAGCGTTCATGCAGAATCCACAACCGCCAAGGGTCTATACTTACAATCCGCTGAATTTGCCACCATGCAGGTTTCTTCCTTTTGCCCCTCTCATCTTCAGTTTTGAAGCAATACAGCCATAAACATATGCTTGTGAAATAAGAAAGAAACATTCTGAGATTGCTTTCCTTTTCAGTTTTTAACTGAAAATCAAGGTGAAAAAAAGCATCGGATTGCCTCTATGTGTATATATATACAATCTCGTGTATATATGAATATGCAGTGTCTGTGCTTGTATGCATACTTTGTATACCCTGTATAATATGGGACATATTATACAGCCTGTGTGTACCCCGGAAACGAGCCCTGTGTTTAACCTCAAATTCTGCCTCTGAACCACGCTGTAGCCCCAGTGTCCTCCTGCCCCCATCTCAGACCTCGGCTTGCTTCTGTCACACACTTGAACATTCTTAGGTGAAAGAAGAAACCCACGGATTTCATTTGAAAGTCCCACTAAAACAGAAGAAAGAGCAGATGTCCTGGGAAGTGATAATTAATGTGAAGGAAGTGTCTAATTGCGAGAACTGGCATGCACCCAGCCTCCCGGTTTTGCTCAATTTGGCAGCAAATGACATCAGCCGGGGGTGTCGTTTCGCAGAGATGTGCTTGCTCCCTATTCTTCAGCGCAGATAATACCATTTGGTCCAATTATCACTTATGATTACATAACCTGTTTTGATTGAAGAGTTTCTCAGAAAATAAAGGTAACTTGTTTTTGCCCCAGCACAAAAACGCAAGCCGTTCCAGCAGGCAAGCTGCCCGACCAAGAAACACTGGGAATTCTTAGGCTAAATTATGAGTCGAACTTGATTCGGAAACAAAGCACCCATTGTGCGTAACTGCCAGCAACATCCAGGAGGATGTGATCGTTTCTCTGACCACAGGTTTTTCCCCAGCACACTCTCACATAAGCCGAGTCCCCAGGCGCATTCACAAAGTCGCAGAGAGCGTGCGGGAAGCATTGACAAGGCTTCCTTTTTTCTCCCTATTCTGTAGGCGCTTTAGTGCAGAGTTTGCCCAGAGACGCCAGGGTATGAGCTTTCTGGATTCGTAGACTGGTGCACTCTTTCATTTCTGTTTTAGTTCTTTGCTGGCATGCCCGGGAAGCATGGTTTGTGCCACACAGGAATGTCTGTTCACTTGGATAATGCTTGTGCATGAATGAGGTGGTTGCTAATGTGGCTCTGAACTGTACTAAGTTTCTCACTTGGCTTTGTTTGCTGCTTACAAGGGGATCAAGGTAATCCTTTCTCTTTGCATAGCCCAAGAGCAGTAACTGGTGGATTTGGAACCTGCAGTGGGAGCTGGGACAGGTCTCTCCCCACCCATCCCCCGTGTCCTCAACTCTGGGAAGTCTGATTTAAGGGAACCCCACGTTACAAAAAGTTGGCCTACTGGTGTAAGAGTGGAGAGCTTACCCATCATACAGTCTCTTAGCTAAATTTGGAGGCCCAGAGCCAAAATTGAGCAGGGAAAGGCAAACTTCGGGATGATGGTAGCAGTTTAAGGTAAACCGTAACTCCAAGGTGTAGGGCCGAGTGGGCATTCTTTCTGCCTTCTCTCCCTACACTTCCCACTTGCCCTTTTGTGTATCGAGAATGACCTGGGCACTTGGCCATCTGGGCCCGTTCCCACACCTGACTTGTAAGTCCCACTTCACACCATGCCACGATTTTGACCACCTAATTCTGAACAACATAGGCGCGTTCCTGCCTGGAAAATGGCCGGTGGGTTCAGGAAGCATAGCCTCTTCCTTCTCATTCTTAGGCTCCTCTTTGGTTTGAAAATCAGCCCCTCTGGCTCCTGTGTTCTTCCTGGCTCCCAGGAGGTAGAGAGCCTGATCCCTGACTACGATGCTTTAGGTGTGGCGTAGCCCACCCCAGTGCCTCTAAATCCACGCCTCCGTCATCTGGGACCCCTAATGTCAGAATCTACCCTTTCTGGGGGAGCAAAGGAGGAAGTAGGACAGAACAAACCCAGGTGGAGGGTCTGCTGCGTGGGGACCAGCAACCTTGCTGCCTTTTGTTCAACACTATGTTTTGGGTTGTTTTTGTTTTTGTTTGTTTGTTTGTTTGTTTGTTTTGGTCACTCTCTGTTCCAGACCACCCGTTAGCAGAGCAGCTCCCCAGCCTGAGAAACTCCAGAAGAACAATATCACCAAAAAAAAGAAACTGGTTGAGGTGAGGAGGTTAAACTATTTTGTTTTTAATCTGATATCAGTGTTCTAAGACCTGCCTGGTGGACATCACTATCTGCCTGTCCCATAGGTACCTTCTAGTAAACCTGAATGGACCTGCTGGATCTCTCTTGTCCTCTCTCCCTCCTACATAGCGTTGTGGCCCCAATCCCAGGGAACCACACCCACTGGGTCATGTTCCTTCAGCCCTGTCATGGGGTCCTGTCAGTACTAACTTGCAAATGTCCCATGTCCTTTGAACCTGACTCCTTTCCCCCAGACCTAGTCCCCCTCAGGGGAGAAGAGGGGAGACACAGTGGGGAACGCAAGTTTATTCACTGTCTCTAATGTTGTGGGAGCTCGCACGGTGAGCTGGGGACTGTGTACGTACTTCCCAAGACGTATTTCATGCACCTCTCATACCTGTGAGGAGGGTAGTACTATTGTTTCCATTTTACAGATAAGGACACCAGCTTCCAGAAGTTAAGTGACTGATTAGGTCCCATGCCCAAGTTCTCCAAGCCAGGGAGTAGAGAGAGATTTGAACTCGGTCGTTCCTACTTAAGGATTGCCGCTCTGTGGACCTGTTCTTTTCTAAGAGGGGCCTCCTAGCTGTTGTTTCTGCATTCAGAGTCCCCTCCCTCTCTGACACATCTTGCTGCCCACAGAGTTCGAGCTCTAAAATACAACTCTTCAAGTTTCACCGCAGCTTTAAGACCTGGGAGATTCCCACCCTGCCAGGGGGATTCAAGTGCCTGGTTTCAAAACCTTAACCAGGAGCCACCTTCCAGCTTCAGCACCTGTGATTTGCCACTGCACCTCAAATCTCCAGTCCCCAAACCCCTTACTTAACGTTCTCTGATGCAGGGGTGGGCCCTCAGGACCCTGTGTATTAGAAGGTGTTGCCTCTTGCCTCCCCACACCCTGGTCTTTCTAAGCTCTTCTCTGGCATCTTCTCTGTGTGCTTCCCTGATTCTCCTCATCCTAAACCCTCCTATACTCCTTCACACACACCCCCCATCCACTGCCCTTGTCATAGGCGCTACCGCCATTATTTCTCAGTCATCTGTCCCTCCTACCACACTGTGAACTCACTAAGGACAGACGAATCCATCTTAAAAATTTTTTTATTGGAAAAGGAGGACTAATTGGGGGTATTTATCAAGGAACAGAGCATAGGTCAGAAGATGCGGCTGAGCTTTAGGAAAAGACAGGATCCAGAAGCTGAGAAGCCATCATAAACCAAGATGGTGCCTCTTTCTGCCCACCAGGGCTCTGTATATCTGATGCATCCTTCTCTTTTTCTGCAGACTTCTTGAACTATTTTGGTAGATGATGGGTATGACCCAGCCCCTGAGTTTATATCTCCTCACTTAGTTATACAGCCAAGCCTACCAGTGTCCTCAATTCTAAAATCCTGGGAGAAACCATCTGGCCCCGTTTGACTTAGTGTCCACCAGGATGAGGGGTCACATATTACATATGCAGCTTCTGGGAGACATATGGGGGTGGGAGAAGGCTGAGATGAAAGCAAGAGAAGGGCTCTCTAGGCAAGAGAGATTTCAGAAAGCAAAGTTATACAAATGGGAAAGCTCATGATAAGTGGGCTAAATAGACAATTCAGCTTGACCGAGGGGTACAGGGCATGTGTGAGTAGGGGTAATTATGCCAGCTTAGGAGTTTGGGCTTTATCCCAAATGCAGTGAAAGTCCGTGAATGTTCTGGAGTAAGGAGGGGTTATGGTATTTTAGGACAATTAATCTGATGTTTGCAACTGATGAGCTTTAGAGAGAGAAATCAGGGAACCTAGAAAAAGGGACCCACACCTTCTTAATCTCGTACCCCACCCACCAGCACCGTGCCTAGCACAGAAGAGCTGCCAACAGTACGTGTGTGTCAGATCGCATTAATAACTGATCTGATCTTAATCGGCCACTGCTCTTTGTCATGGAAGACAAGACAGGAAGAAGAGAAAGACTGTAAACCCAGAACAGTATCTCGTTGTTGAAAAAAAAATGCAAATGATGTAGAAACTTTGTAGGGCAAGCACCAGGCAACAGAATGAGCATGCCATTTGCCTCGATATTCTGCACTGCCTGTCCCAATGGCATCCGTGGGAATCCAAGCAAACCCCTGGGCCACCATTCAGCCCCCCTAAAGAGTGCCTGCCCAGGCACAGACACAAAACTTCCAGGTAGCCTTTGTAGGGCCTCACAGCAGTAGGCCTGGACTCACCTGGAGAGCCTCGAAGCTTATCTGGCCTATTGAGAAAACTGCCTGTAATTCTGTATGGGAGCCTAGTCCCCCTAGCGTTTCAGGGAACTAAAGAAAGGGCTGCGTTTTCTCCTCAGCTAGCCAAGAAGCCAGAGGCTTTCGGCTTGGGGTTGGCTGTCCAGCCCGCCGCGCGGTCCCCATGAGGTAAGGGGCTGGCTGCCCCCAGAGCGCGGGCTCGCGGCCCTGCTCCTGCTTCCTCTGAGGGCCGCTCCCCTCTGTGTGTGGGAATGTAGGAGCTGGCTCTCGATCACGTGTTTGGCTACAGGGGATTCGACTGTCGCAACAACCTGCATTACCTGAATGACGGCGCGGACATCATCTTCCACACGGCGGCGGCTGGCGTGCTGCAGAACCTGGCCACGGGTAACGCGGCCCCGGGGCCCCCTCTGAGGGCAGGCTCTGCTTCCCGCCCCCCCGCCCCCCCCCCCGGGTGTGCCTCCCCCTCCTGAGACGCCCAGGAGCTGGCACCTTCTCGGCCTGTGGGAGCCGGTCCTCTCCATTCCAGCCTGGAATCACTTGGTCCTAGAAAGTGTGGAGGCCCACGTTCAAAGGTCAAAGCCCTCTTCCTTTCTAACAACACCCTGCTGCCAGCCCTCGGAGGGAGGTGTCCACGTTTCCGTCAGCTGCTCAGAGGCTGGGAGCGGGGGACAGGAGCCGGAAAGAGGGTGTGGGGAGTGGAGAAATTCCTTGCAGCCGGTTACCAAGAACGGAGCCCCGGGGAACTTTGCTCATTAATTTTTCACAGTGACCAATATTTTAGCAGCTCAGGTTTTCAAGTCTGGCTTGCTTTGACGAGTTAGCCAGAAGAATGAGAACTCTTACAGCATAAGCAAATCACCCCAAATGTCCCTTCACTGTAGGATGGCTCAAACAAATGGTTGAAAAAGAAATACCGCAAGCTGAAAGAAGCGTTCAGAAATTAATTTGACACCCGTATCTTTGCCACCGGATTTAAATGTGTTCACATCTTGCCTTATTCGCTTCCTACCTTAAAACAGTCCCCCTTTCTTTTTTCAAATTTTTATGCTCCTTCCCAAGTCTGCACACTTGTTTATGCATACATTTTTAGACCGTGAAGTCACTGAGCACATAATGATTTGCCTTTTTTGGAAAGGAGGGCCTTGAAATTTTCCATATGTTTTCTCTTTTGTGTAGCCACATATTAGCACTTTAGTAGCAATGTGCTATTTCTTTGTCTACCAGTGCCTTCATCTACCTCTTAGTTCTTGGGCCTTTGGATGGGTTTACAGTGGCTACCTTGCAAGTCGGCAGGCCCATTTGTCATAGTCGATGATAACGTATTTCTTTTTTTTTTTATTT